TGTTGTTAGCCCTCAAAAAGCCATTATGTATTTGCGTTGCACGGTTTACGTTGCTGACGGCATTAACATGTTTGTCCATAAGCTTTTCTTTTTTTTTCTTTGGTGCATGTAAGAGTTCCTCAAGTCACTTTAAACTTGATACTAATTATTGTCAGGCTGAAAGTATTAATGTTAAATTTCTCTCAACAAGTGTATTTCTCGAAATTCGAATTTGCATTCTTCTCAGTAGAGTGATTCTTGATTTTGTCAATTAGCCCTTTCTTATATTTATTAATGCTCTTCTAGCTGTAGTATGATAGTTTAAAGAAAGAAATAAAATGGAAAATGAATTAAAATTAAAAAAAAATGGAAATAGTGATAAGTAATGTGTAAATTAAACCAATTTGTGAATGTTATTGTGTTGTTCATCAATGTGAAAACAATAAATAAGCCGGCCCGCCTAAAGTAACGTTCACAACATGATATTCAAATTTATTATAAATTGATGGCATGGAAGCAATCATCCATCATATTAATTAATGATGAACCACGTGTGTGCGTGTGTGATGGGCCAAAGCCGACGCTGAGCATTTCATTGTGAGTGTTCACTGGTCCCACGGATCATGAGGTAATATATTGTAACGAGACAATTCCATCCATATGTTTAAGCAAATGACAGGCATACCCTCGTTGCCATTGTAAATCTGAAAAATAAGAACAAAAAATACATAAATCTCTTGTATCCTTGTTGAGAAGTTCTCTAATCCGAATAATATAATCGTCTAATAAAATCAGGACAAATCCATGGCTACTGAATGTAATACATGATTACATATTCACATCATCAATTCAATAAAGTCCTTCCAATAACCAAACTTACTGCCTTAGCTTTTTAACCATCTAAATATTAAGAAAATTAGTTAATTTAGTTATTTAAAATAAATGTGTGTTCTTTAATCATTTACACTAAAACTACTCTTTGTTGGAAATTATAAGTTTGAATAACTAAAATGGATTAAAATTTCATATTTAGAACTAAATCCAACTTTTTAATTAGTTCCTATATTAAAAATTATAGGTAATAAGATAAAAGAATATCAAGTCAATGTAACCCTTCCTAAAACACTAAAATACCATTCCAGAAATTTCTCAAAAAATAATTAGAAACTGAAATAGAATAATTCCGCTTCTGAATATAAGAAGTAGTAAAGAGTTTTTTTTTTAAATTTTAAATATAATATTCTATTCTACTATGTCTTTGTTAAAAGAAGCCCAGAAAAATGGAGAGAACCAAACTTTTTATTATTTTATAAGAAAACATTATGAGCCTACTCTTAATACAGAACTCAATGCCCATCAATGTAGACTTGCACGACAGACACTGCGAAATGGGCTTTGAAACGAAGCCCAACACCTCTACTTATGTAGAAGATCCAATACATAGTGTAGAACTTCTAACGGCCTTTCAAATTTTTAATTCTTTTTCCAAACTGACTTTACAAATATTAAGAGGGATTCATAAAGAGGTAGTTTTCAATGTAAATAACCATAGGAATAGTTCAGGAACACTTCATTTTTCTTGGTCATTTGGTACTCGAAGGCGTGAGTGGTCTGCATCACTACCATTTGTGTACTAGCACAACTATTTTTACCGGAAAAAATATAATACTCCTCCGATCCTTAATATAAGACCTACTTAACTAATCTGATTAGATTAAGGAAGTTAGGTAAGTTAGTTAATTATAAAAAATATGACATGCTTTTTCTAAAATACTATAATCATTTTCCTTAATATCCTTCCTCCCTCTTCTACTTGATTACGGTTGACAGAGTATTCATATGGGTAATTTAGAAAAAATCAATAAGTATGAGAAATATGTCTTATATTTAGAACTAAAATCAACTTCACAATTAGGTCCTACATTAAGAATCGAAGGAGTAATTATAAAGCTCCAACTACAGCATATGCTAATATGCTTACACATTTCATTGCAGACAGAAAAGAAATAAAGGCATACAATTGCACGCAAAAGCTTTTAAAATAAAAGTGACGAAGGTTATAAAATACAAGACAATCACATAAAATACTCAAACTACAGTATGTATGCTTGCAAGTATTAGTGCAAACAGAAAATGAATAAAAACATCAAATTACACACAAAAGTGATGAAGATTGGTGTTGTTCGTATCATATAAGACTTCTACTTAATTTTAGGGGTTCAAATCTGTGCCGTTTTCCTTGTTCTCGGTCCTTTGGTACTCAATGGGACGACTGGTCTTGCGTTTTGGGGCAGGAATCCCCGACATGCTGGACAATGTGGGACCAAGGTGTGTGGGGAGTTGCGTGATAACCAAAAAGATGACCACCGATGACCAAAGAATATATCTTGAAAGAGCCATATGCAATTTTTGATAGTCATCATCGAGCAGGAAGAAATCACCAACACAGAAAGAGATCCACAAACAAATGATGGAGCCAAACATGAAGTACATACCAAAGTAGAGTCTGAAAGGAACGAATCTCCAAGTGTGAACAGACTGGGAACGAGAAGTAGCTATAGACAGGAATAAGATGGTGGAAATGAGGGAGAATAAGAGGGCTGCGAATGAAGAGTCTACAAAAGTTCTAAAAAATAAGGAGATCATTTCTAAGGATTGCTTAGCCTTTGTCATCATAACAGCCTGGCACATTGGTACGTGTGACGTAGGCCACCGACGCAACTAGGGTCAACACCACTGAAGATGCTTGTGAGGTTTTAGTTGCCCACTTTCCTTCACTTCTCATAAGTTCTTTATGACTCTCTTTGAATATGTCTTCTGGGGTTTCCATTTTCCTGTTGTATCTCTCCCACAAGCCAGGTGGTGTTGAAGCCTTCGCAAACTGCATCACCATATATACACATTGCATTAAATTCTGATATGAAAGAAATCTTTGGCACCACCAAGTCAATTTAATGTATTCACTAATAGATGAGTATCTTTTTAATTTCGTGTTGACCTCATCAGGAGCAAATAGCTACATAGATACACACCTCAAACCAATTGATTTCTCTGGACATGAAAAGTGTTTCCCCAGGATTGAGCCAATCAAGCTCCACTCCAAGCCTTGCTGCCAAGTGCAAGGCGTTGTTTCCCTCTTTATCTACTTGCCAAAACAGACTTTCGGATAGCCATTTCTGTTTGCACAAAAACTTGAATCCCTCAGTCTGCCTATATTCTACTGCCAATAAAACTATATTCTTTCCCTCGGAATTCACATCTTTAATTCTTGATGGAAATAATTCAAGAATTTTCTCCACCATTTCTATCACACCATTCTTCACAGCAATTACTAGGGGTGTCTCAATTATTATTGTACCGGACAGTGGAGTCACCATTGACTTTGATTCTATCCACAAGCGCCCTTCATAGTTTGATTTACAAAATTGGTTTATAAATGCAAGACTTTTAGGCATAAAAATATATATACTCATACTATTTACTCAATATTTTATTTTTTGGTGATAGAAAAACTCACAAATACATCATAAACTAACAACATGGGATTTTCATGAATCTCTTTTACTGTTTTCCTCCTCTGTTCGTAGAGAAATTGAAAGTTGCTCAGTGGCGGTTCTTGATATTATTTGTGACATTTTTTCATTAGAAGTATGCTGAAGAAGTTTGTTCATTATTTGAAGTGACCATGTGTAGACATCTCCCTAGGAATATTAAAGAACCATACATAATTCAATAAGGAAAAATGTGTTAAAAATTACAATTTAAAAGCAACTAATTGTTATATATAATTAAAATAATATATAACATTTTAGACTTTTTTTGAAAATTTTTTTTACCAGATCTAGATCTAATTAAAGGCAAACATGTAAAGAGAAAAATTAAAGAAAAATATGCTTTGATAGGTCTCGCCTGTACTTCTATCTTTCTATTTTTACTCATACTCCAATTATTTTTAGAGAAAATTTAATCCTGATTAATATTTGAGTTTAATCAAATAGTCGGTGTGTAAATAAAAAAACAGTGAGTAAGATAAAGGAAAAGTGTATATAATTACACAAACAAACACGTGTGCATCTTCAACTTTAACAAGCTCAGATTAAAATATTAAATATGAAATAAAAATTTCAAATATGAAATAAAAAAAATTGTGTTTATGCATTAGATGAACTTTTTTTTACCCATATATACACCCTCCCTTTCCCCATAAGGAAGAAGAGGACACCGCTCGTCATGTTCAACATTATAAAATGATGCTTCTAAATGTTGTTATGGGAAGCTCCAGAATAAAGGCAAGTATCCTCTTCACAGACAAACAGAACTTACAATAAATTGGCTCAACAAGGAGGGCAGTACTTTTGAAAGCTGAACGATTTGCTGTCAGGAGGTGAAGTGGAGACAACCCTTCCTTATTGCGAATCATCATTTCTTTCAAATGATCTTTATAAAGGTGAACTATTTCGATTGCCACATTTGCACTTATAGTAGTATTCCCTCCGTTTCTTATTATAAGAGACATTTAATGCTTATAACATGTTCCTATATATAAGAGACACTTAAATGTTGTCTCTACTTTTTTGTATTAATTTCTTATTTTACCCATATTTATTGTCTCCAACTCACACTCTCCCCCCTCCCACTTCTCTTTCTTTTAATAATTTAATTGTTCTCTCTCATGCTCTCTCTCCTTATTAATGAGGATATTTTTGGAAAAAAATTTTATATTTTTTACACATTGATTGTTCTTAACTAATTTTAACTGTTTTTTTATCAACGTAATTCGATTATTTATCTCTTATAATAAGGAACTAAGGGAGTACGTCATAAGTATATATTATAGATATATGAAAGAATGAATGTTACAGTTTAGATTTACCAAAATGCCCTTCTGCAATTGCACAATGAAGAATGGTACCGCCATTGTCCCTTATACAGTGGGCAAAGTCGGTTGAAGAAACTCCAGGGTGAGACATATACTGATAATGAAGCCAAAGAAAAGCTTCTTTCTGGCCATAGAGAGCTGCCTAAAACAGCGGTGTCTCACCGGCGATGTTACGTCTAGCAATTAAAGAGGGATTTGCACGACCTAACTTCTTACATATTGCAACTTTCCCCATTGAAGCTGCTATGTGCAGAGGAGTGTTCTTTCGATCATTCTCGGCCCCAAGGATGACGTTCATGTTTGAGCTCTCCTCGTTGTCTCCATCCACTGTAACCACCAAATTATTCTGAGTGAGACATTTCTCTTCTTGAACTAAGAAGTCTCCTGTCATCGTTATCTTGGCTGTGCGTAGCGCGCTTTCTTGTTTGCACGTTTCAAGTACTTCTAGCCACTTGCCTCTCCAACCATCGCTTTGTAGTTTCTCCAGCTTTTCTTGTTGCTCGCCAACTAACGAACTCATCGTCTCTTGCAAATTAAATCTAAACAAGAAATATATACGTGACATCCAAAATCAAGGTGATATATAAATTACCAAGCCTAAATATGGCGATATATCAAGAAAATAAACTCATCAAGATGGACCTAAATATGGATCAAGCCTAAAAGGCTTTCGGGTATTAAATCAAGTTAGCTTTCAAGCATGCTTCTCACATAAACCACGTTAGTTTAATTTGGTTTGTAGTCACCACAGAATGAGAACCCTAATCATCTTCATATGTGCACTCTATTCTAAACTGTATGCAGAGATAACTGATTTTCATTTTTCCAATATCTACAAACATTGGTGAACTGTTGAAGTCAACTCAATTTTCTTTATCGTAAACGAAGTCATCACCTATAATGAAACGGTGTAAAATGTGAAACACACACACACACACACAGACAGAGGTCATATAGCTAATTATATGAAAATCGGATATATAAAGTACAACCATGACAGCCAAGAGAAGATAGTAAATAACGTGAAGAAAAAGAAGATCAATCCAAAGAAGAAGAATCCGAAGATGAAAAGGGAGGGATAGATCTAGCCAATAAAAAAAATATAAATGACACAGAGAACCAAAGCCTTAAATAGGAGGATGAGATTGTGGCTTCACTAACCAAATCTTAAAGAACTAGAGATGAGTAGAAAGACCAAGGTGGAGAAGAAAGAAAAACAAGGAAGCATTATATAGAAAACAAAATAAGTAGATGTAGATCAACCTTCCCATGAGCTGCATTAATTTTAAATTATATTTAATACTATAAATATAGCAAGCACAGCGCAAAGCGCAAAACAATCACATGACCATGTCCTTCTTGGAAGTTGCGGTTCTTGTACTTTTTCCAAAACTAAAAAAATTGAACAATAGTTTTAAAAACTTTTGGTCAACCCTTCCTCTTGGAATCCAGCTATTATTGTTATTTATGTTTATTTTAATTGAACAAATATAGGATCGGAAATTATTTTTCATTTTAAAATTTACTATAAAACTTATTTTTTTAATTTTCAATCCTCTTTCTATATTAAATGACCAATGGTATTTTCATTATACATACAAATGGTACTGGGGCATTATATTAAGGGAAATTATCTCTTATCAATATTAATGATATCGAACCATTTCGATATTTTTCACTCGCAAATAATTTATCATTGATGATCATAGGTCACCTGACGTGTGATGATGACTTATTTCATGCAAATTTAAAATATGTTATTATACAGCTAAATCAATGGAAACTGGCCAAAAAAAAATCAATCGAAATTACTTACCATTTAATGGCTATACAATTTAAATTAATGGCGGCCTATATGAAATCAAATTATATAGGGAAAAAAAATTCATTGAATGCAAATAATACTAATTTCAAACTATAATATATAGTCTATACTATATGTGGGATTTTGACTAAAATATCTATTTGTAGGATACCAATTTGAAGTCAGATAATAAATATTGAAATTGTTAGATACCATGTGACTCCATCGACAACAACACTGCTAGGATCATAATATTCCTATACGTCATGCCTATGACATGAGCTTTTATATGGATAGATCATAGATTATAAAAGGCTAAATTATATATTTGGTTTTTTAACTTTGTACAAAGTTTCAATTTAGTCTCTTAACTTTAAAAAGTATATATTTGGTCCTTTAGCCCTAAAATTATTAGGCTTTAATGATGATTTTTTGTAACAATCATGGATGTTTTGAAAATTAAACTTAATATGTTAGCATTTGAGATTGTTTTATTAACATTTAAGATCTTAATATCAGTATTTTTTTAAAAACTTTTTGGATTAAAGAACCAAAAGTATACTTTTTAAAATTAAGGGACTAATTGAAATCTTGTATAAAGTTAAAGGACCAAATGTATACTTTAGCCATTATAAAATAAGAAGATCCAGTCCCATCCAAGGAAAAATGACAAAAAAATATCTATTGAATTTCAAAATGATAAATAAATTACTTTGATAGATTTTTACTTGTCAAAACCATTATAAGAGTTGTCAACATGACTTATTTTTTGTTTTTAAATTGAACAGGTATTTTTTTTGGTTATTTCCCCAAGATCCAACTACCAAATTAGTATATATTGATGAATTTTAAGAATTACTAATAGGAAATAATTATTATATATTTTTAATTGTGTAGGTACTTACTTTTTGGAAAAATTACAATCGAGTCCCACTTAAGAGAATTAAATACAAAAAGGTCTCTTAAAATTATCAAACTATTCTAAAGTCTCAAGAGACTTCATTGTAAAAGATTCTATTTGTTTAATTATCAAATTGCCCTTATTATTTTTTTTAATTTTGTATTGATAATTAAAAGAGCAATCATTAACAACTTAGGGTTTAAGGATTAACAACTATTATAAGATGGCAACTCATGCATTACATTTTTGTGATGTAGTGAGAAAATGTGTTGTCAATACTTGTCACGATAGTTGTTAATCATACACTGTAAGTTGTTAATGACTGTTCTTTCAGTTGTCAATCTAATATTAAAAATAATAATAATAAGGGCAATGTGGTAATTAAACAAATAAAATCTTTTGCAACGAGGTCCCTTGGGACTTCAAAATAATTTGACAATTTTAAAAAACCTTTTTGTATTTAATTCTCTTGGGTGGGACCTAATTACAATTTTCGCTCACCTTTTTAAAGTTCGACTATTTATTAAATAAAATAGACATAAACTTATAAACTCACCAACAACACCTAAAGTTACTTTCTTTTATATGATATCCACCCTTCTTATGACTAACATTGAAATATTTATCATATTTCATTTGGAAATCAATAATATTATTACTGATTTATAAAATTGGATGGTTCATATGTAATATCTTATATAATAATATTATAATATTATTAAAATATAAATAAATGTAAATTGTTAAAATATAATCTACCCATTTCTCACCTATATTATAAAAAAATAATTTATAAAATATTTTAATAATATCTTTTGTATAAAACATTACATTTGAACTATCCATTTTTTGATTTAAGGATGAAGAAGAATTTTAAGAAGATAAAAAAAAAGGAGGATTCTGAGATTCCTAAAGGTTTCCAATCCCAAAAGATGTGGATGAAGATCTTTGATGGATGAGATTTAAAAGTCAACAGACAACGAGACTTCTCATATTCATCGCCACAAAAAAATGCTGCTATATGCGATACTGTTGGTTTGCTAATAATGCGCCACAACAGGTTCAGTGCTTTTTGATATGTTATTACTGAATTAATATACATTAGCTATATAAATAAAAATTGAACGCATCCTAAGGTTTTCATTTTATGGACCAAATATATGGCAAGCAAGACCAAGATTTACTCTTCTTTGATTTCTATAATGTGTTTCTAAATCAACTTTTACTTTCGGGAGCATTTAATTCTTAGGCTAAAATATATCTTGCAAAAATGACAGAATTTATAAGCTTATAAATAGCAAGGATAAAAGCAGAAAATATGGAAAATTAAGTACTAGTGTGCAACCAAAAACATCATGTATATTTTTCTATCTTTGAGTATTCAATATATGCATAAATGCATCAAAAAGTACCTAAAGCTTAAAGAAAATATGCTAAAATGACATGAAATTCTAGTGGTTAACAAGTCAACATATGCACAAATGCATCAAAAAGTATCTAAAGCTTAAGAAAATTGTGCTAAAATGACATAAAATTTTAGAGATTAACAAGGTGACGGGTGAGAGCTGTAAGTCTAATGCTTATTAAGGGAATTTAATGGAAATGAGAGAAGATTTTAATTTAATTAAAAAAGTGTGATTGAATATTTTTTATTAATTTTTTATATTTTTATAAAAAAATTTATAACTCAGTTTTTTTTTTTTAATGAACTCATCAAAATCTTTTCAGATTCTCTTGGTCCCATGGATTATGAGGTAATATAATGGTATAATTTTTGTACATATATTACCACATTAAACATATTGGGATGCGTTTTTATACAAAGTATATTTCCAATGTAAAAACAAAACAAAACAACATATTTACATCGATTCCATAAAATCCTTTTAACATCCAAAATAAAGATAAAAGAATATTAACTCAATGTAATAATCCCTCATGAAAGACTAAGGCGCCCTGCCAGAAATTCCAAAAATATCAAATTTTAAGAATTACATTAAAATATCCTCAAATTCAAACTAAATTAATGTGTTGTTATTCAAACATATAGATCAATACAAAAATAATTAGAAACTACAATAGGACATGTTAATCAGATTATGTCGATTAACATGTACTAGAAGAGCTAGGGAGATTATACACCTGTGTGTGTTGCTAATTATAGAAGACTCAAGTATATTGGGAGACTAAAGTGCCCTCGCCTCTCATTTGCAAGCTCTTGGTTTTTATGTCATCTTCCCTATTCCCTTCAAAATTGCCCCTTAACACCTGACGCATCAGAGGAAAGGGGAAAGAACCTTCGGAGCACTGACTCTTCCTTTTCATAAGTTTAAGGTTTGAATTTATGAGTCATTACATTTTATTATATTTTTCTTGTTAATCCCAACTTCATCCAATGTAAAAATTTTCACATTAACTCATACTCATTCACATTTTGGCATCATAATAACATTTGCAGGTGATGATTATCCCAATAGTTAAATTAATTGATTCAATTAATTAAATTACTCAATAGGGTTAAGTCATATATAAGTGAGGTGGAAAAAATATAATAATTATAAAACTAAAACTACAGTATGAAGGAGGGAGATATGGTCACGCATAGTACTACATAATACAAACAGAAAAGAAATAAAAACATCAAATCAACATACAAAAGCTTTTAAATATCTGTATTGTTGGTCCTTCGGTACTCAACGGGACGAGTGTCCTTGCGTCTAGGGCCAGGAATCAGGTCAAGAAGAGACAATGCGGGGAGTTGCATGATAACCAAAAGGATGATCTCCAATGAGGACACACAGTATTTTAGAAAAACAAGGTGCAATGTTTGATTGTCCTTATCAGGCGTGACAAAATTACCAGCACAGAAAGAGACCCACATAAGAACAATGGAGGCGAACATAACGAGCATGCCACCGTGAAGCCTGGAAGGAATGTATCTCCAAGAGTGAACATATTGGGAAGGAGAAGCAACTATAGACAGGAAGCTGACAGTGGAAATGAGGGATAAGAAGAGGGCCGAAAATGAATAGTCTCTAAACTTTTGGAATCCTGGTTTGTTCCTATGGATTGCATAGCCCTTGTTATCATAACCACCTGGCACATTGGTGCATGTGGTGAAGGCTGCGGATGCAACTAGGGTTGATGCCATAAAACATGCTAGTGAGGTTTTAGTCGCCCACTTGCTCTCGCTTTTCATAAGTTCTTTGTGACTCTCTTTGAAGATATCATCTGGGGTCTCCATTTTCCTATTATATCTCTTCAACAAATCAGGGGGCAATGAATCCTTCACAAACTGCATCACCATATATACATATACCTCTACTTACAAGTTTATATATTTTGATATCAAATAAACGCCAACTCAACTTCAACAGTGACAGGCTTTAATTTATTAATCATTAAGAATTTCTTAGTTGTTAACCTCATCAATAAAAAAGTAGAACAAATATAGAGACACGCACCTCAAACCAATTGATTTCTCTTGACATAATGAATTCTTCCCCAGGATTTAGCCAATCAGCCTCCACTCCAAGCCTTGCTGCCAAGTGCAATGCATTATTTTCCTCTTTATCTACTTGCCAAAACAGACTTTCACTTAGCCTTTTTTGTTTGCACAAAAACCAGAATACCTTCGTTTGCCTATGTTCTACTGCCAGCATAACTACATTTTTCCCCTTAATATTCACATCCTTGATACTTGATGGAAAGAACTTCAAAATCCTCTTCACCATTTCCACCACACCATTCTTCACGGCAATCATTAAGGGTGTCTCAATTGTTATTGTACCAGATGGTGGCATCGCCATTGACTCCCTCTCTATCCGCCAACGCCATGCACAGTCCAAATCACAACATTAATTAGTTTATAATTGCGTGATTTTTTTTCCAAAGAAAATACAGTCGTAATATTTACCATAACATGTATACACACTTATGCATACGACTATCATTGGAAGAGTGTGTGTGCGTGCACATATATATATTGTGAACAACGAACACACATATATACATATATATACATATTTATATTATTATTAAGGATGAGAAAGGAATGACTGGATGAGTAACAGCTGAAAGTATTGAGTCTTGAACCCATAGCATCACAACATGTTCATAAATAAACATCCTAGAAAATCGAATGAGGGATTGGTCTAATCTTATATATGAGTATTCGTCAAAATTCAAAGGAACTAGAGAACATCCCTAGATGTAATTTACTATTTTATCTTTTGGCGATTAAAAAAAAAAGTTCACAAATGTGTCAAAAATTTGTCGGGAGACATTTTGCAACCATTGCAGGTGAAGAATGATTTATGATTCAATAATATCAAGTTCTATATATGAAAAGTATAATAAGAATGCTTTATAAACTAACATCTTCCAGTTGTCATGAAGTTTTATACCATAACTCTGTTCTGGTTGCTGGAGAAGTGAAAGCTGCTCAGAGGTGGTTCTTGATATTATTTGTGACATATCTTCCTCAGAAGCATGTTGAAGAAGTTCGTTCATTATTTGAAGCGACCATGTGTGCTTCTCCTTCATTTTTCGTATCCGACGCAGCCACCTCTCTATGAATATATTCATGACCAGTACATAAGTCAGTAAGGACAAAATTTTTTGGAAAAAATTAATTACTTAAAAGTAATTTATATTTATATATAAGCGAAATAAAATATATATGTTCAAAATGACTTCTATTCAACTCTAGATCGAATTAAAAGCAAATATGAAAAGAGAGAAAGAAAAGTGGCCATTGCGTGTTACCTGCTAATAAACAAAAATCCTCAAAGATCATTAGGACGCCTAGAGGAGACAAAATCAAAGCCACAAGCAGACACAAAAGTGTATCCCCAATCATCATGGCCAAAGAGCATTCTTCATCGTCGTCATGATCATCATCAAGACGATCTGCAAATATGAGAAAGAAAAATGTATGAATAAACCATGTACCATTTGATTCCCAAACACTAATAATTGATAATCGCCCTTTAAATTTTGTTAATGTAAATTTTTTGTTGAACTTAAAAGAAATATTCATATGTTGGAAAAGCCTATGACAAAGTAACTACACGATTCAATTTTGTCATGTATATGGGTCATCGTTAGACCTGGTCTTTCTCGCAGTTTCAAGTAGTTTGGTTTATACTGTGTGTGTAATATTAATGGGATACAAAAGGCTTTGGGGGCACCCATCTTTTTCAACCATGCTCGTAAATCATACTTACTTTCAGCATAATCATACAACGCATGCCACAGGACCCCGGTGCATAGTTGGAGTTCACGTCGTTCCAATGCTTCCCTCGTCGTGGCATGCTTATTTTTCTTAACTCTTAAAAACCCTTCCAAGTTCCAAATAAACAAGCTAAGCCACACACATATTATTATTTTTATAATATACAACACAATGAATATAAAAAGCATGATGACAATTTTTTTTGACAAAAAGCAATATACATATTTGCACTCTTGAGAAGAGTGTGTTTTTGTTGTTGAAATGAGACTGTATACAACATTCGAGAAAGCTCAACCATATTCAGCATTATAAAACTTGCTCTTAATAAATTTACAGAAACATATCCAATACATCATTACTTTGATTTTGAAAAATATAGGATTTGATTCTTTTCGGACACACACACACACATAAATATATGAGAGCACCAAAAAATTATAATTGCAATGGAGGAATGACAACTGAGGAACTTAATTAAGAACAATAATGCTTGTAATAAATCATGCTTACCTCTAACAAAGTTGTTGACAGATGCGCGCAAGAGGTCCCTGACGCATAGTTCGCCTTCACGTTTCTCCAATTCTTCCATCGTCGTGGCGTGCTTCTTCTTCTTAACTCTTAAAACCCCTTCCCAGACATGCAAGCCACACCCGTATTATATGTGTGTGTGTGTGTGTGTATGGTATAATATAGTCCCTCCAGTTTTTAATATGAGATACTACATCCGGTCCTAATTATAAGAACCAGTTGACTAATTTGAAGAGATTAAAGAAGTAAGTTGAGTTAGTTATTTGTCCTAAATAGGTGTTGTCTTTCCCAAAATATCCTTGCTAATCAAGTGTATTAACTAGAACTATCATTATTAGAAGGGCTACTTTGGAAAAAAATGTATAAATGAGAGACAAAGTGGATTGGGGTCTTATATTTAGAACCAAAATAAAAGTCAAATAGGGTCTTATATTAAGGACCAGAGGTAGTAGATTCTAGAAATTGTTTTACTTGATCTTTGATATGGGAAAGTTTATAAAGTTAACATTTATGAGCTATTTCCATAAAAGTTTGCATATCTAAGCTAATTTGTTTATTTGTATGGCGATATTTGTACTCTGGACGGGCCTATTGTCAATATCAACCATATTCAACATTATAAAATGGTATTTTCAATCGTTGTTATAGGAAGCTTGAAACGCAACAGATGAAATTCAAGTATGAAATTAGAGACACACATATATGTATACACGTTGCATTTCCTTGATGGACAGCATAGAACTTACGACAAATTAGACGAACAAAGACTGATCGTCCAAGGAGGGCAGTACTTTTGAAAGCTGAACGCTTTGCTCCTAGAAGATGAAGGGGAGACAACCCTTCCTTGTTACGCATCATCATCTCTTTCAGATGATCTTTATAAAGGTGAACAATTTCAATTGCCACATCTGCACTTAGCAATACTTAGCCATAAGTACATTAACAATATAAGAAAGGGTGAATGTTAGTTTAGATTTACCAATATGCCCTTCTGCAATTGCACAGTGAAGAATTGTATCGTCGTTGTCCCTTATGCAGTGAGCAATGTTAGTTGAAGAAACACCACTGCTTCTCATATACTGATAATGAAGCCAAAGAAAAGCTTCTTTGTTGCCATTTAGAGCTGCTAGAAAAAGGGGCGTTTCGCCAGCAACATTGCGGCGAGCAATTAAGGAGGGTTCTACATCTACGCCACCCATTTTCTTGCACATTTTAACATTTCCCATTGTTGCTGCTAAATGTAAAGGAGTGTTGTTCCTATCATTCTTAGCCCCAAGAATGATGTTCATGTTCTGACTCCCCTCGCCGTGTCCATCCACCGTAACCACCACATGATTCTGGGCACGAACTTGCTCTTCAAGAACTAACAACTCCACCATTTTTGTTACCACCTGCTCTTCCTCATCAGAGACAGCCATGTGTAACATAGTGTCTCCCATCGCTGTTATCTTGGCCGTGCGGAGTGCCCTTTCTTGCTTGTATGTTTCAAATACGTCTGGCCACTTACCTCTTCTAATATCCCTTCGTAGTTTCTCCAATTTTTCTTCCAGGGAACCAACTGACGAACTCATTGTCTCTTGCAAACTCTATTCAAATGATGTAATTAAATTACAATATGCATATATATATATATATAAAGGCTATATAAAAAGTTGGAGCGTATCAAACAAGACTACCACATATAGAAAATATATACATGATTAAGCCCTTGGCAGATTAAATTTATATGATGTCAACAAGAACCTCCAAAAACAAAATGTAATTACCATGACACCTAAAAGAGGGGGGGGGGGAACTTAAAGAAAGAGAAGATGAATGAAGAGGGAGAAAAATGCAACCAACAACAACGAAGAAGAAGAAGTTAATGATGTGAAAGAAGCAGAGGCTTACTAAATTAAAGAAATAGGAGAATGAGATTTTAACTTCACCCAGACCAAATCTTAAAGAAGCAGAGATGAGCGTGGAGAAGAGAGCAAAACAAAGAGGCATTATATAGTAACCAAGCAGACCATACATCCTCCTTAATCTTTCTTCCCAGACGAAAATTCAAGGAAATTTCAACTTCAACAACCCGTCAGCAAAAACGCGAATGAAGAAAGAGCAAAAAAAGAATGGGAATACGCACGGAAAGAGATATGAGTAAAAAAAAGAGATTGTGAGTATTGATCAGCGTGAGGAATGGGAATAGCCTCAGGTCAAAAGCTTTTGAAGAGAGGAGGTATAACGAGGCAAGCGACTACAGATTTGGGATTAAAATAAAGAAAAGAAACAATAATAAGGGCACCATATCGTTGTCTTCTTCCTCGCGCTTTCTCTTGTCTTTTCTTCTTCTTCCATTTGTTCTTTTTTTAACTTTGCTACCTCTTCTTCTTTGCCTACGATTTTCTGTAGTCTTCTTCGTTGTTTTCTCTTCTTGTTTTGTTGTTTTGTTTTTCTTAAAGACTGGTTCATTCTAATTCGCTAAGCCACCGTTTCCAGTATAGTTCAAGATTAGCCACAAAGTTAATTCTCTGGTGCTTTCCAGTTCAGCTGGTTTGCTTATTGTTAATATTATTTTATTTGAATAATCTTTATAAAGATTATTCTCCTCCTTAAATATATGCATTGTACAACAATGGCCACAAAGTTAATTCCCTAGTGCTCTCCAGTTCAGCTGGTTTGCATTTTGTTAATCTTATTTTATTTGAATAATCTCTATAAAGATGATTCTCCTAAAATATATGCATTTTACAAGATTAGCCACAAAGTTAATTCTCGGGTGCTTTCCAGTTCGGCTGGTTTGCATATTGTTAATATTATTTTATTTGAATAATCTCTGTAAAGATCATTCTCCTAAAATATATGCATTTTACAAGATTAGCCACAAAGGTAATTCTCTGGTGCTCTCCAGTTCATCAGCTGGTTTGCATTTTGTTAATATTATTTTATTTGAATAATCTCTATAAAGATGATTCTCCTAAAATATATGCATTTTAGATATGTTTGGTTCTCTGCATTTTCGTTAAGTTTCACTTGTATCCCTTAAATTTAAAAAGTGTATTTTAAATTTCTTTGTCTTAACTCTGTTAGTCTTATTTAACAAAAATGTTTACTCAGCAAGTTTAAATGGTGACTCTATAATTAACTGTTAACAAAGTATTTTTTGTTTCAGTCCAACAAAAAACCATACTCTAAATTTTAATTCTTTAATATTATCATTTTTGTAGATCTCTTTAATATTTTAATATTTTTAATACTTTATCATATATTTAATTCGTTAAATTCTTAAATTTTAAAATATAAAAAATGATATTTAATTGCAAAGTCACTATTTAAATTTGCTAATTTATCAATTTTTCCTTAAGACTAAAGGTGTTAAAATAAGGGTACTAAGCATACGTTTTAAACTTAATGGACTAAATTAAACTTGAGAAGAATATTAACTGATAATGATCCAATATGTTTTTATATTAGATGGCAAAATATATGTTTTTATATTAAGAGTTATCTATTAATATCACTTGAAAATATATTGACTAGTCATGGTCAAGATGTTAACTAGTAATGCCCGAATGTTTTTATATAGCTAATAGACGGCTGGTGAATGATTATCACATTTCATATTATAGCAATACTGACACAGAAAACCTTCATTCCCATAAGAAACAGCTTAATATAGAAAACCAATAACTTCCCGGCACAAATTATATCTTAGAAAAAAACCACTTTGAGATTCTAAGAAACGAACGTAATTACAAGGGAAAAAAAAAATCTCACAAGCTAGTGATCAACATACAACAACAAATTTTGGAACAAAAAATGATGCCAATGTCCATATTATTCATTTGTTGTGAGATCTTTTTCATGATTACATTTATTCATTAACATCTCATAGTGATTTTTCACTCTGCTGAAAGATCAGTTAAGTAATTCCCACCTAAGTAACGAGGATTTCCAAACTCATTTTTGCTCCACCTAAACAAACAAACAAACAACAAGCCTTATCCCACTAGGTGGGGTCGGCTACATGAATCACACGACGCCATCGTGCTCTGTCAACAACCCAATCCTTAGATATGTTGTTGATTAGGAGGTCTCGTTCAATGACCTCATTCAGCGTTCTTCTCGGTCTTCCCCTGCCTCTTTTTATGGGACTCCATCTTGTTTGATCCACCCTCCTCACCGGGGCCTCCAAAGGCCTTCTCTGCACATGTCCAAATCATCTTAAGCGATTTTCAACCATTTTCTCTTGGATAGGTGCCACACCGACTCTTGTCCTGATCTTTTCATTTCGAATCCTATCTTTTCTTGTATGACCACACATCCATCTCAACATCCTCATTTCTGCTACTCCGACTTTGTGCTCTTGTTTTCCCTTTATTGCCCAACATTCACTACCATACATCATAGCTGGTCTTATAGCAGTCCGATAAAATTTTCCTTTAAGTTTCTCAGGTACCTTCTTATCGCAAATAACTCCGGTAGCTTTCCTCCACTTTAACCAGCCAGCTTGTATTCTATGAGAAATGTCTCCATCAATTTCCCCATCCTCCTGTATAATGGATCCTAGGTATTTAAACTTTGATACTTGAGGAATAATTTGCTCTCCCATCCTCACCTCCAAATCCCTATTACCTTGCCTCCCTCCAAAATCACAATGCATATATTCTGTTTTGTTCCTACTCAAACGGAAACCTTTCGACTCCAAAGTCCTTCTCCATAACTCCAAACTAGTGTTAATTTCTTCTTTTGATTCCGCCATAAGAACTATATCATCCGCGAAGAGCATGGACTTAGGGATTCTTTCTTGAACAGGTTTAGTTAGAACATCCAGAACAATGTTGAACAAGTACGGACTCAAAGAGGATCCCTGATGTAGGCCAATCTTAATAGGGAAGTCCTTTGTCTCCCCCCCAGGCGTCCTTACACTGGTAGTTACCGCCTTATACATATCTTGTATGACTTTGATATACGCAACCCGTACACCTTTCTTTTCCAAAGCCTTCCACAATACTTCTCTTGGCACACGATCATAAGCCTTTTCCAGGTCAATAAAAACCATATGTAAATCTCTTCTTTTACTTCTATATCTTTCCATTAACCCCCTTAGTAAATAGATTGCTTCCGATGTGGATCTCCCTGGCATAAATCCAAATTGGTTTTCCGAAATAGAAGTCTCTAACCTCAATCTATATTCCATCACTTTTTCCCACAACTTCATGACTCATAAGTTTTATTTTGCTCCACCTAAACAAAATATTTTAAATTTAAAATCTAAATCCATCAAGCCAAACACATTCTTAATTCTTTCCCTTTCGTAAACGTTTACTTCCCGGATGTCGTAACCAAAGGGTCCGTAGAAATGGAACTCAAATAATGGGTCGAGTATACTTTTAATCTTGCCGTACATTCAAATTAATCTATTTAACCAATATTTGAAAAAAATACAAATAAATTTAAACTCTTCATGTTAAATTAAGAGAAGAATCCCAGAAATAAATCAATTTTGTTTACAACACTTTACTAACAATTGACAGCATTTGACAAGCAAATAACAACACATTTTTGTAGCCATTCCGAATTTGAAAATTTGAAATTTTAAGAATATTTGTTTGGGATTTTCCTAAATTAAAATGACGTGATTAGGAAATATATTTATAATTTATGAAAATCAGACCACATCAAAACAAAATCCTCAAGGGGTTGATATATATAAACACGACTCATATGTTTTTATGTAAACAACAACCTCATATTTATATATTTCATCTTAGTTCGAATAAATTTATTTTTTTAATACTTTACAAACGAGCATTGCATTTTTTTAAAACATACTGTTGGACGATCTAAATCTTGTTATTGTGTGCTGGATTTGTTTAAAGCATACTATTTGTACGCTTCTTGGAAGGTGCATGTGTATCTTTGGCTA